AGGTGCCGGGCTAGATGACTGGTTTTGATGTATATTTTTTTTTTTTTTATGATTGCTTCTTTTGCCAATTTTTATTTTTTTTTTTTTGCAATTTTTGGCCAGGGCTGGGTTTGAATCCGCCACCTGCGGCATATGGAGCCAGCACCCCACTCCTTTGAGCCACAGCACTGCCCAACTTTGCCAATATTTTGTTCTAGGTGTGTTATCCTGAATGAGTCAGACTTAAATTTTCCTCTCCTGTGCTGAATTTGTCCAGTTTTGTCAGAAAGGCTATTTGCCCCCTTAAGTGGGTGAAAAAACAAATATCCCCTTATTCTGTTCTTGGGAAGAGCTCTTATGAGATTCTGTCATTGCCTCACATTTGAATACCCTGACCCAGGGTTTTATTTATTTGTCTGTTTATTTTTATTTTTATTTATTTATGTATTTATTTTGAGGCCCTGGATAGAGTGCTGTGATATCACAGCTCATAGCATCAAACTCTTGAGCTTGAGTAAGCCTCAGCCTCCTGAGTAGCTGGGACTATAGGTGCCCACCATGCCTGGCTAATTTTTCTATTTTTAGTAGAGATGAGAGATGGGTCTTGTTCTTGTTCAGGCTGGTCTTGAACTCCTGAGCTCAAGCAATTCACCCACCTTGGTCTATCAGAATGCTAGGATTACAGGCATGAGGCACTGTGCCCAGCCTGACCGAGGGTTTCAAAGTGATTTTTTTCCCCTTTATTCTTATAGGACTCTTTAAGCTTTCTGTTTCTTCTTGAGTCCATTTTGGTAATTTGGATTTTTCTAGTAGTGAGTCAATTTGGTACCACTTTCCACATTTGTCAGCGGGAGCTATCCCCAATGTCTCAGGCCCAGCAGTTGCTAATACCTCTCAGCTCTGCCATCTCTTTCTTCATTATTCATGGCAGAGGTTTTTCTATTTCATCAACTTCTGGGAAGGAAGAGTTTTGCCCTTTTCCCCTTGCTGGTGTGTTCTTGGTCTCTTGGCTAACTCTGCGGTTTCTCAGGCATGTGCACTTACAGTGATACGGGCTTTTCTGCTCCCTATACACTTCACTGGCCTGTATTTTCCTTAGTGTGGGGCTGACCATCGGCCTTCTCCAGTTTAGGAGTGAGACTTGCATGTCAGAGCTCAGTACAAACCAAAAGCCCTGAGCAGGCCCTGCCCTCCGCAGTCTGGGGAGTGCACTTACCACAGCCCACGGGTGGTATACAAGTGTCCCATTGTTGGGGTACCCAGGATTAAGGCGACCAACCCCCATGTGCAGGGAATGACTCAGCAGCCTCCCAAGGCCATGCCCCACACACCACTCTCCACACAGGGCCTGGGATGGTGTTGGGGGAATCAGGGCAAGTACCTCTGTGGCTCATGTGAGCTGGCCCTGTGCCCAGGGATAGGTCTGTGGCCCTCAAACCCAATGCATCCCATCTTGAGCAGCAAGGGTCACTTAGTAGTTCAAACTTAAAGGTAACTGCTTTTGGGAGCAGCTGACCAAGGCCCCTCCTATGTAGCACCTCCCCTCTGTCCCTGCCCTAAGCCGTGCCCTCCTTTCCTCCTTAGCACCTCCCTTCCTGCACCCTGTCCCAGGATAGCCACTGCAGCTGCTTCCTCCAGGTGTTGGGGAGGTGACTATGTCCCACCCTTAACCTGACCAGACGCAACTTCGCCCCACGTTTGGGCTGTGCGGGAGAACAGGCAGCAGAGGGTACTACAGGAAACCAGGGCACTCACCCCACCTGTGAATGATGTTGCAGATGGGAGGCCTCAGATGCACTCTTTGGGCCTCTGTCGACTTGGCTTCCCTGCAGGTGCTGCCCATCCTGCCACCAACCCCTTCGGACCCTCGGCCCCCCCTGGCAGCTTCCTGCCCACTGGTCACCTGGCAGGTGGGTGCCCCCGGGCAGTGCATTCTGGCTTCCTGTATAGACCTTAGGGTTGGGGGAAGTCAGGAACCAGGAGGGTAACCCTGAGCCCCGGGACACCTCTTGGATCACACTGGGGTACCCCTATGGGACCAGGCAATCAGGCAAGGGCCATGCAGATCTCTGACCCCTAGTTGCCCCACAGACCCTTTCAGCAGGTCGAGCAGCTTCGGGGGCCTGGGCAGCCTCAGCAGCCACGCCTTTGGGGGCCTGGGCAGCCATGCTCTGAGTAAGTGACCAGCACAACCCTTTCTCCATACCTTCTCCCGGGCTGGGGCGCACCCTGCAGGGTTCCTCTGGTGGGGGCAAGACAGCTGTTCTGGCCTCAGCACCCTGACCTGTACCCCCAGCTCCCAGCAGTGGCAGCATCTTTGCCCCCAAGGAGAGCTCCTCAATGCACAGCCTGCCCAGCCCCCATGAGACCTGGAACCGGCTGCACCGGGCACCACCCTCCTTCCCCACGCCACCCCCATGGCCCAAGTCCATGGACACCGAGCGGGTCTCAGCACTGACTAACCACGACAGAGAGCCAGACAAGGGCCGGGAGGAGCGGGAGCGGTGAGTGGAGCCCTCTAGGCCTCCCATCCTCCTCCTCCCCCATCCCAGCTTGGTGCAGAGCTCTGGGGACTCAGCCCTGACTTGTGATTCTCCAGAGAAGGGCCAGGAAAAGGACCCATATAAGCACACTGTATACTGCTTACCCTGGGGGCGGTGCACAGAGGGGTGGGGTAGGGTGATACGAACTCCATGCCCTTCAGACTGTGCAAGTTTCCAGAGAAGGGAGGCAGCAGACTGGAGCTGTGGGCACATCCCAGGGAGGGTCTTCTGCAGACAGTGGGCTCAGAACTCATCTGCTCAGGAAGCTCTTGCTTCTACCCCAAGGCAGCTTGGGTCTTCCTGTCTTGACATCTGGTCTTCAGGGACAAGGCAGAGGCCCCTAGGCACAGTATGAGTATACAGCACTGGCACCAGAGTTTAAGGCAGGAATTCCAGGGTAGGGCGAGCAGTGCCTGTCCCCCATAGAGAGCTGCCCAAGGCTCTGGTCTCAGTGGGAATGCAGAGCTTTGTAGTTCTTCTCTGGTGTGTTTCAATGCTGTTTGCCATGGGGGAAAGTATGGGAGTGTTTGTCACCACCACTGTGTTGACGGGTGCTGCTGGCATCTGCAGGACCTCAGATGATAATGGGACCCCACACAAACCAGGGAATGTAGGCCCCACAGGGATATACTCCCCTCTGCTGAGAGTACAAGCTTCTCCAGGGTGATTGACCTGACTGTCCTACTCCCAGGGACCTCCTGGAGAAAACACGCCTGCTCAGCCGGGGCTCACCAGCGGCCCCCATGGGTCACATGGTCAGCAGTCTTCTCCTTCGAGGCCAGGGCGGCCAGAGCGAGCTGGGCCGTTCCGGGGTTCCCACAGAGCGTGAGGCCGAGCCCCGAGTTAAAGAGAGCTGTTCCCCAGCCAAGGAGGAAGTGGTCAAGCCAGCAGTGCGCCTGCCCTCACCCTGCAGCAAGGCGACCTTGGGCGACGTGAAGGTCAAGGAGGAGCGGGGTGCGGATGAGGCGCCGGAGCCCCCAGCCTCCGGCCTGCACCCTGTGCCCGTGCCGCTGGGTATGGGCCGTGAACGCCTGAGCGCACCAGGCTTCGCTTGGGAGCCCCTGCGGGAGGCCTACCGCGGCCTGGAGCTGCCCCGGCGCGCCTTCCCTGCTGGCCCAGGCCCCGCCAGCCTCTTCGAGCCCCCCGAACGCACATACCGCGACCGCGAGCCACACGACTATAGCCCAGAGCACCTGCGGCTGCCGCGCCGGGAAGAGCTAGAGCGCCCGCGGGGCCCAGGTCTGGACGGCACCCCACACCCACCTCCTGCCCTGAGCGCACCGCACCTGCCCCGCCTCGGACTCCTGGCGCGGACCCCGCCGGCTGCCGCCACAGCCGCGCTGGGTGCCCCGCCCCCTCTGGTGGCCGGGCCCCCCACACCACCTGCGCCACGGAGCAGGACTACCCCGCTTGAAGGCCTTGGGCCAGGCGAGGCATGCGGGTACTCTCCATCCCGCAACCCTCCTGAGGTGGAGGCGCGGTAGTCCCGCTGCCCCATAGACACTTTCACACGTGCACTGCTGTAAACTTTTTTAAATGTAAATTTCTAAAACTTAAGCACAGTTCCATCAAATCTTGGGGTTGACAGCTCTTCCGCAAAGCCTGCGGACTCGGTGAATTTACTGTACAGCTTTTGGGGGGCGGGCTTTTCTTTTCTGAGCTTGACATTAGGCTATTGGGAAAAAATTCAAGTTTGTACCTTTCTTTCCCACAGGAGAGAAGCATTTTTAATGAATTTGTATTTTTCTTAATTTTGTGCTCTTTAGACACTTAACCAAAAAAGAAACTTTTGCTTCTTGGTTTTTAGTTGGGATTTGCAAGGTAATGGCCTCAGATCTCTCTCCAGAGCCCCAGGGTTTCATTGTCTTATTTATGGAGGAAAAAACGGTCATTTTGTCCAACGCACTGTGAGGCTCCCCACTCAGGCCTGGCCCTGGCCCTCCCTTGGTACTTGGAACCGAAGTTACAGATATATATTAAAATAATAATTAATAATAATGTACAAAACTTTGTTTTTTGCCTTATTATGCAAAAGTGTAAGGGTTTCTTTTTTTAGTTTTTTTAAAAGTACAAAGGAAACAAGTGTACATAGTCTGTTGATATCAATGTATTAAATTCTTAACCTAGGTAGACTTTATAAAGATGGTTTCCAGAAACCCGTCTGGTTATTTGTCCAAATGGTCACAAAATGCCCACTGGCTGTCAGTTGTAAACACTTTAAGAAGTTAAGTTTAATGGCAGCACCTATCCTTCAACTATGCAAGTGCTCTGAAGCAGGATTTGGGGGAGAAGTTCCTGCAGCAAGGCAGAGACTGCCCCTGGAGGGCGGTGGGTGCTCTTGGCTGCGGCACTCCCAGGGCGTCTCCTGCTCACAGTTCACGGTGGGCTTCAGGACTGGCTGGCTCTGTCTGCAAGAACAATTCTGTGGACCCTTGTGCTAAACAGTGTTCTCGGAAATCTATACACTAGACAAGTAGAATCTCAGAAGTGCAAGAGTCTAAATATTGATTACAGAAAAATAAATAACTTATATATTTTCTCTCCTCTGTGAAGGCTGTCAAACGTTTGTCTTCCTGTCATCTGTGCACCTTAGTTCCATGGCTGGTTCCCTCTGGTCCAGGTTTGTCTCATAGACATGCAAGTGCCACTGTGCTCTGCTGGCAAGGTGTCCTTTTGTGTTTCCTGATGTCCAGCCTGCCTCTATGGGCTTCTGAGCCTCCTCCATTCGGGCATCCACAGCTGTTCTGTGTTCCCAGCCGTTTTTCCACTATAGACTTCACTTTAAATATTCTGTTCTCATGTCATTCACCAAAGGTAAATACAGGCTTGATTTTTGGGTAAAACTGTGGTCTAGTGTTCTATGCAATATTAGGGTTGGCACCCTCTAGGCACCCCAAGCACCCCTTGCTCCTCCCTCTGGTACAGGCACCGTGGGGTGCCCAGGCAGCTCAGGGCCACTCTGGGGGGCAGTGCTGCCCTGGAATGAGGCCTGAGGCAGCTCCCTGGTGCCCTTGGCTTTGGTGCAGGCATCAGGTGGCTCCCAATGGTCCCAAGCTGCTACAACCCCCCCACAGCTAGAACTAGCTCTTCAAGTTTTCATCTTCTCTGCATGGAAAGATGCCATCCCATGGCCTTGGCTTTTCCCCCTCTGTTGGCTTTTCATCCTCACAGAGGCTGGGAAAGGGGCAGAGCTGACCTACCTACCCACCTACCCACTCATGCAGGGAGGCCCTGGGACTTTGAGGAGGTATTGTGGGTCCCACAATGAGTGAGGGTACCCTTCTTCCCAGAAGCTTCCATAGGGCTGTGCCCCACCAGGTCACAACAGGGATTTACACTGAGAAATAATGTCATTAGGCAATTTTGTGTTGTGGGAATGTCATGGAGTGTCCTCACACCATCTTGGCTGCACATCTAGCTTGTTGCTCCCAGAATATAAACCTTCACAGCAGGTGACTGAGCTGAGCACTGTAGGCAGCTGTATGTGACATGTGAGTATTTGTCTCTAAACCTGTCTAAACGAAGAGGCTTAGTAAAACCACTATCCTGTATGCAATTCATTCATCATTAACCAAGATGCCATTATGTAATGCAGCACTGTTCATTTTTCCTTGTCTGGGTTTTCTAACCTACACAGCAAACCTTCAGGAGCAACTGGTGTGTGTTCTGTCTGTGACTGAATGATGGCATGGGTCAGGAGCACCCCTAGGGGAATCAACCTGCACTAAGGGCACCCTTGACAGGGGTAGTAGTGTATTTTCCTACATAACAAGTGCTCTAGAGGAAGAGGGAATGGGGTTTGGGGATAGGCGTCGTGCCTAGCATAGTTGTGATTCTCTTGGCCTGGCTCATTGCCACATAATTGTAAAATAGCTGCTGCAGCCCCAGGTATTACTTCCATATTCAAGGGGGAGATAATAATAAGGGAAAAAAGCTAACACCAAACTGTCTGCTCCTTTTGTCTGAAAGACAGAACCTTCCGAGTTTTCTGCTCATCCACAGAGGGTTTCTATCTGGGCCCCCTTGGCTAGGACTCGGTGACACACAGCCTCATTATCAAGGAAGATGGAAACATGGGCAGGGGCAGGTACACTGGCTAAGGCTCTGGAAGTTTTTTTCTGTTATACCACAGTTTGAGCATTATTATTTTTCTCCAAAATTGTGTGTGGAGCTTATAATATGCATGCATTTCATTTCCAGACAGAAAAGGCCACCAGGAAACATTCCCACAAAGGCACTTAGATCCACTGGCACACAGATCCTGTGCTCTCCCTGGGCTCCTGCTTGGACTTAAACTAAGTCCTTTATCCAGGCTTGCAGGAACGGGCAAGACTCTTCTAACAGCAGCAAGCAGAAGAGGCCCCACAGAGACAGCAGGGCCGTATGGTTACCCCAAAACTCTCACCCCAGCCATACCCAGTCAGGGCATCTGGGGATGAGAGGTCTGAAGGGCTGAGCCAAACTCACCATCTTGCAGCCATTTGCCTCTGACTGTGACCACCTGTCCCCACCCCCTAAGGAGGCCACTAGGGCACAGCCTTTCCTGGTCAGGAAAAGACTCAAGGGTCACATTTGCCCAGCAGAGCAGGTGTGCACAGATGATTGGGTGGCCTGGGGCCCTCATGTCACAGCCTGGTACAGGGCTGCTATTCCCTGCCCCAGCTAGATATGACTCCTGTTTTAATCATCAAGTTCAAGGCTGTCAACAAAAATAGCTACTAGACTCTTGAGACTTCCCCTCTGTAAATTTCTGTTACTAGATTTTAGGAAAAGCAATCACAGAGTGGGCCAGGTGCAGGAGCTCATGCCTATAATCCTAGCACTCTGAGAGGCCAAGGAGGGTGAATGATGATGTGGGTCAGGAGTACCTCTAGGAGAAGAGTTTAAGACCAGTCTGAGCCAGAGGGAGACCCCCCCATCTCTACTAAAATAGAAAAACTGAGGCAAGAAGATCGCTTGAGCCCAAGAGTTAGAGCTGTGAGCTGTGATGCCATGGCATTCTACCCAGGGCAACAACCTGAGACTTTTGTCTCAAAAAAAAGAAAGAAAGAAAAAGAAATCGGCTCGGCGCCTATAGCTCAACCGGCTAAGGCGCCAGCCACGTACACCTAAGGTGGCAGGTTCGAATCCCCAGCCCGGACCCGCCAAACAACAATGACGGCTACAACCAAAAAATAGCCGGGCGTTGTGGCAGGCGCCTGTGGTCCCAGCTACTTGGGAGGTGGAGGCAGGAGACTCGCTTGAGCCCAGGAGTTGGAGGTTGCTGTGAGCTGTAATGCCACGGCGCTCTGCCCAGGGGGACAGCTTGAGGCTCTGTCTCAAAAAAAAAAAAAAAAAAGAAAGAAAAAGAAATCACAGGGTGATATGGAAGAAGTCAATAGCCCCTTCCTCCAGACTGCTCTGTTTCATTCAGCAGTGCAAGTGCAGACATACCTCTTCCTACCCTGCACCCCACCTCTTTCTGGAATCTTCCCTAGCCAGGCACAGAAAATAAAATGGTTATTTCCAGGGTTTGCTTCCAACCCTTGCCCCATTTCCAGCTAGAATGATCCACGGACTTCATGACAGAATTCCACCTCCCCAGTATGGACAAAAATGAATCCACAGTTATACTAGGACTGCAACACTCCCCTTTCAGGAACCAGAAGCATAAGGAGACAGAAAACCCATGAGGATGTGCAGGACCTCACACTGCCAACCACCTACCTGACCTAAGCAGGTTTCCAGCCATAATAGACAATACACAGCAGCACTCACCCTTCAGAGAGGAAAAACAGTCGCACGACACACCATGTTCTCAGCCATGAAACAATCCTCGGCAAATGTAGAAATGTGGAATCATACTGAACACAACCACAGTGAGATCAAGTCAGAAATCAGTAACAGAAAGATCTCTGGAAAATCCCCCATCTCCAGGCAGGTTTCAACCACTGGGAGGCAGCCAGAGCCAGATCAGACCCACCAGCCCACATACACACAGGCCCTGGCAGGGACCTTCTCAGCAAGGCAAGGGCCACATGGGTCCCAGGCAGGAGCACTGAGGAAACAACCTTGGAAGCCAAGAACTTGTAGACCCCAGACTCAAGCCTGGGCCTCCCCAGGACTGCAAAGGCTGGGAGGAGTCCTGAATGCCCTCAGGACAGCCGATCTCCAGTAACTAGTTAATTCTGCTTTTTGTAGGGTTTCTGCCTCCTGACTGGACTTCACTGGAGACAAATCCTAAATTTCTGTGAAGTTCGGGAAAATAAGGTTTTTCACTATGTATAGTTAAGACCTGTCTCTTTAGACTACTCAGTTTCATACCTTGCTGTGTCTGGGGCAGAAAGGGGCCTCAAGGACTTGGGGAACTGAGTGAGGGAATTCATTTTAGCTGGTGCTGATGGGGCCCACCCATAGGGACGGCCCCCCCACTCCAGCCTCACCCACAGGGATGGCACTTCCAACCTGGTTCACCCAGACTGGTGGAGGACAGCACAGGGCAGACAGTGTCTGGCACTGGGAAGGTCTGGGGTTTGGGGACATAGTCTTTGAGAGTATAGCTGTAGATGCTCATGTGTGGGAAGTTACCAGACATGTCCAGGTGTGAGCAGAAAGTTCAGTTCTCAATAAGTCTTCTTTTTCTTTTTTTTTGGTAGAGACAGAGTCTCACTGTATCGCCCTCAGTAGAGTGCCGTGGCGTCACACTGCTCACGGCAACCTCCAACTCCTGGGCTTAGGCAATTCTCCTGCCTCAGTCTCCCCAGTAGTTGGGACTACAGGAGCCCGCCACAACGCCTGGCTATTTTTTTGTTGCAGTTCAGTGGGGTTGGATTTGAACCTGCCACCCTTGGTATACGGGGCCAGCGCCCTACCCACTGAGCCACAGGCACCGCCCTCACAACAAGTCGTAATCAAAATGTATGCCTGCCTTCATTTCTTACAGGAGTCACAATAAGTCCAGTTTATTTGCAGCTCTGACTTAGACTTTCTTACCCTAAGTGTTCAAGTGGGAGCTTGCATGTTCTGGGTGACATCTATCAATAGGGAAAGATTTAACTCAATCTTGTCAGTGGGAAGAAAAAAATTAATTTTCTGTTCTCCCCACAGAAAAAATTACAAAATTGTTATGTTAAAATTGTTATGGATTTGGAAAATTGGAGGTTAAAGTGTTATAGCAATATCAGCAATTCATTAAAATGGTATGTATATTTTTGGACATTGACTGTTTCTGTGACTTAGCTCTCAAAATTCATAGACTGCTGGGCAGCACCTGTGGCTCAGAGGGGTAGGGCTCCAGCCCCATATGCTGGAGGTGGCGAGTTCAAACCCAGTCCTGGCCAAAAACCACACACACAAAAAAAATTTCATCGACTGCTGCAAGCCTTCACTGTGAATTAACACTCACTCTTAGACCTAATGTTATGTTGGTCTGGCACTCAAAGAGTGGCTGGGTGATATGTTGGCTGCAGCAGCTCCCCAAGGCCAAGTCCATTCCTCTGAGCATAGAGACTGGGGGCAGATCAGGCTGCACTAGGGTGCCAGCACTGACCTGGGGCCAGGGAGGAGGAGATGGAGGAGGCCCTGTTTGACATGGATTGACCTCACTCTGCAGCCTCAGTGTGTGCTTGTGTTTCACCAGCTGTCAGCAATGTCTGGGGATGAAATCTCAGCCAGAACAACTACTTTACAGTGACAAAATGCACTTTCTCACCTTTGCTGTGGATGCTCTGGGAGTGGTGGATTGTAGTATCCAGCCTTGGCAGCCCCAACAGACAGACAGCCCCAATGACTCCAACAGCCCTGACAGCCCCAACAACTCCAGGCCTGGCCTTGCTGTATAAGGCCCCAGCTCCTAGCAAGGCTGTGAGTTTGGAGGGCCAGGAATGCTGGCTGTGTTAGACCTTCACAGGCTAACCTGCCTGTGGCATCTGGATTTTCTATAGATGATCTTTCATTACCTGAAAAAATCAGAAGCGATAAAACATCTGCAGTGTGCAGTCAGCAGTGTTTATTTGTGCAAGCAATGTCCCCTAGCCTGCCACGCGTGTCCCCTAGACTGCCGCCTGTTCTTACGGAGGCTTCTTTTCACACTATGGTTTCAGGTGCTTGGTGCCTCGCACTTACAGATTTTCTCAGAGTCACAGAAAGTGCTGCATGGACCTTGGGGGACACTTTGCTCTGAACCCAACTCCCAGCACCATAATGTCCAGGGTGTGCATCAGAGGGCCCAGGATTGGTTCTTCAGGACACAAATTCATGTTCCTGTCACTAAAGTAAACACCAAAAATGAAGGAATATAGTGGGAGGTGGTAGCACAGCGCAGGGGCAAGAGGAGGCTAAGTGCAAACCAGCAGTCTCCAGAGCCCTGAGTGTCCCTCTGCCACCAGAGGGCAGATAAGGACAGGTTGGCCTTATCTGGCCTCAGGGCTTGAGTGGGAGAAGGATACCCTGGAGCACCCAGCTCACAGCTGTGCCCCCACAGCCTCTCCAGGTGCAGCTGAGCCATGGCCGATGAGGCAGCAGGTGCTCATAGGGACCTGGGGTCCGTACCTCAGAGGCCAGAGAACCCTTTTGCCTGGTCTCTAGGGAAGCTGATACCCACTGTGCCCACTCTCCCTGCTCCCCACTGCCTTCCTAACCCCACTCACTTGGGCTCCACCCTGCAGGTCCCAGACCATGCCACCTGCCACTGTCAGTCAGGCTCAGCCAGCAGAATCACTGGGAGGGACTGGAAGATCCCTTCTTGCCCCCTAGGGCTGCTGAGGTCTCAGCCTCCCCAGACCAAAGACTTTCCTCCCCACCCTCTGGGGCCCTCACAAGCTCCCACAGGGGCTACCCAGTGCCCTTCTCTGTGCATCTCTTATAGGCCTCTGAGATAGCCCTACGGCACTGTGGCCAGCTCAGGAGCCCCTCTGACTGTAACCATTTCCTATGTGCCCCCCTCTTCATGAAATGAGCTCCTGATGGACCCAGTCTCAAAGTAGCAGCCCCTCCCTTTGTCTCACACTCCCTGCTGTATCTGCCAAGTCCCTGGCACCCAAGGGACCCACCAGCGGCAGGCACTGGGCCAGGATTCCCGTGCGTGGGATACAGCGGTATGGGCTGTCTTCATTCAGCTGGATGCAGCATTGGCTGTGGCACTCGCTGTGGCTCCTGCAGTAGTCGCCATCCGGCTGAGGAGATATGGGCAGGAGCCCCCCAAGAAGCCTCCACACCCTTCCTCCCACCGAAGCAGGACAGGGGTGCAGAGGTGGCCACCCTCCTCACATTAGGGGCCTGGGCTCACCTTGCGCCAGGGCACACACTGCAGGAAGATGGTCTTGGGTGTGCAGAACAAATTCTCCTTAGGGCCAGTTCTGACACAGCAGTGGCTCTGGCACTCTGCATGGGTCCAGCAGATGTACCCATTTGGCTGCAGGATGGGGGACCATGGAGTTGGCAGAAGAAGGTGGCACACGTCTCCACACATTTCCACAGCCCAGCCTTGTCCCCACGCACCCTGCGCCAGGATAGGCACTGCAGGAAGATGGTCTGAGGAGTGCAGAACCTCTGTGGGTTCAGGCTGTTGGTGACGCAGCAACCGCTCTGGCACTCGTGGTGGTTCTCACAGGCCTCACCGATGCCCTGAAACATAGCCCAGTGCTCTGAGGCCTCTTCCCCTCAGGCTCCACTGGTCACCTTCCTTCAAACTCAGGAACAAACCTGCCCACAGTTGGTCTGGCAGGGTGATGTCAGAGTGCTCAGTGGTGAGGAGGGGAAAAGAAACATCTACCATGGCTCGGCACCTGTAGCTCAACCGGCTAAGGCGCCAGCCACATACACCTAAGGTGGTGGGTTCGAATCCAGCCCAGACCCATCAAACAACAATGACGTGCTGCAACCAAAAAATAGCCGGGCATTCTGGTGGGCACCTGTGGTCCCAGCGACTCGGGAGGTAGAGGCAGGAGACTCTCTTGAGCCCAGGAGTTGGAGGTTGCTGTGAGCTGTAATGCCACGGCACTCTACCCAGGGGGACAGCTTGAGGCTCTGTC